CACCAATCAATGTTCCATTTATTTCCAGACTTTTCAACTCCAAATGCAAAGTCCATCGGGCAATGTGATCCCACCCAACAACACAGGCTGTGTAACACAAAATATTCTCATTAACAATCCTCAACAGGTAAGACCAAAACAAATATCTCAAAAAAGTTTATAAGAGAGGCGTAACAGTGCAGAACCAAAAGTTAATGTGGATATTGCAATTGTGCACTTCCTAGAAAAATGGACAATGCTTTTTACCAATCTGAGAACGCCTGAGCCATGTGAATCTTATAAACTAGTTAAAATGGTGGAGACTAGCTGTAAACTAGTGTGAGCTGTGTTGGTGTTTCTAAAGAAACACTTGTAACTCTGTTCACCTTACAAAGACTTCTTCTTCATTGTCTTGTCCTCATGAATTATTCATAAGCACTASGAATTTCATTAGAAATGTATATGTTTTGCTGTAACCATACTATTCCTAGCGTTCAGTAAACCACTTGATRAATTATTAAATGTTTTTAAGATAAATCATTTTTCATAACAATAATAATGAAATTGAAAAGATGTTGGTTTGTAGGCTGGATGATTCAAGTTCACCAACCTTGAAAAATTTAACTTTATTTGCCCATGCTTGCACCCTGTGTGGGACGCATCTTCAGGTGACAACTTTTCAATGACGAAACAAAACAAATCAACAAAACAAAGAATAACAACTAAGTGTACGTGCTAAATACAATAGAAAAACATACTGAGAATCAGTTATCAATTAAACTTAATTAGTTTCGATTGTAAAATACTGCATTGTCTTTGTTAAACAAAGTGTTTGTCTTCTTGGCCATGTGGCATTATTCCTGCCATTTCTTTTGATGCTCCGCTCTGCCCCAGTTGATACCATGTTCCAAGAGCATGTTTTGTTCAGGACGAAGCGCTGGCAAATAAAGGTGAATTTTTCACAGTTGGTTCACATGATTCATCCAACCTACAAGCTATTATCTTTTCTATTTCATTATTATTGTTATGAATAGGTTGAAGTACATGGATCCACAGTTAGAATATTAATTGCATGTAACTCGTCAAACATAATGTTACCATCTGATGTCAAGAAACAGTCCCGTTTATGACACTAATTAGGATCTTTCGAAAAAATGCTTAATGTAGAAAAACGGATATATTGTGTTTTTATGTATTCATTCAAATGAGTACTGAAGCAATTTTTATTTGGTTTTCCTGTTTTATCATTTAAAAATGATATGGAGAATTATATGAACCTTGGAGGCTTTTCTAGTAATAATTTTTGTCTGCAGTGCTTTCGACTGTGGAATGAATAGTCTGGCTATTTAAAAAAGGAATTCTGTCTTTCAATACCAACTAGAAGGTAGTCATTTTCTTTAAAAAAAAAACACTCTGTTTGAAAACAGTCACCTCAACCAAAATTGTTTTTAATTCAAGGTAGAGAAAGACAAGATACAAAACGACTCAACTTGTCTTGCAACATTTACTAATTGTTTCTGTTCAAGTTTGGCGTCTGTGTTTCTTGTTTTACRCATTGCCTAATTATTGATAACTTCTTGTGCAACAAAAAACAGGGCATGAAAAATGATAAACATAGACACTAAACTTAAACCTCAACAATGTTGTGTTAGAAGAAGGTTTTTTWGTATCTTGTTTTTCTCCATTTTTAATATTAATGTYGCATATTTTTTACTCAATTCCAAATCCCGCCTCCTTTTCACTCRATTTTTTATGTCATRTCACTGTAAAATCCAAATTTTTCAGATCAAAAATGGGAAAGAATGTGCTCCATCTTAAGCCTTYTCATCACAGAYATTCATTTTCATCTCATACGTGTTAGTGGACTTGAAGCCCGGTGTTTTTGTTTGATGACATGTGACTATTATTTTGACAATTAAACCACAAGGTCCAGTGGGCTACAAGTTGAAAGTCCATGCGTCTGTTCTAAGCTGAATAGGCTATCATATCWTTGAGACCAGGTGGTTTAATTGTTTTAATATCCACCAAACTATCGTGCAAATTTGAATTAACATTAAAAACAACAATGTTTCCTAATAATTTTTCAAATTTCATCACTTTTCTTGTGAAATACACTTTGGAATACAATATTTTATTACTCTATAATTTGAATGTCTTTATTTTTATCACACATATTGCATTTCGATTACACCTTGTTTCACAAATTTTTGATGAAACCAATCTTTTAGTTTAGAGTAGTTGTTATTACTCTATAATTTGATTGTTTTTATTTTTATCACACGTTATTGCATTTTGATTACACCTTGTTTCACAAATTTTTGATGAAACCAATCTTTTAGTTTAGAGTGGTTTTTATAAACATAAGTGAAATACTCTTCACTTTTTTACTCTTAGTTTTGCATTTATTTATTTTTTTTTTGTCTTTTTCAATTTATCACACTTTTTCTATTGCACTTTGTTTCGTCTGTTTTTGAAAACTGAAATACAGCTCATTAGTTACTAATTCCATTGTTTTCTTTTATTTCTATTTGACAATTACACCTTAACTATTAGRGACTTCTTGTATTYCCAAAGAATTTTATGTGATTCAACMAAGTWAACTAATTACAGTAGMCTGACAAACTAGACAATKAGATATGTKTATTAAGCCAATCGTWTTAGCTCTTCTTGGAAAGTTTAGCAGTACTGTCATGTTTTTCTGGTGCTGTTGATATATCTCAAAACATTGTTAAAAAACAAGTGTAAAACTTGGCATCTGTCAGCATGTGATATCGCTCAGTTGGTAACAGTTGTCTGAAATATATGTTAATCAKGTCTGTGCCACAAAGTGATGAATGTTTAAGTCCCTATTAAGACAATTGTGAAAATAAAAATAGTAAGTTTTAGAAATGATGTTTACTAGAATTCAATTTATTTCTAGTCTGTTTACTTTTGGCATTTTTTTATTATAACARTTTAGCATAAAGCTAATGTTGGAGTGATGAAATTAAACCTGTGAAATTTTTAACTAATAATAATACAATGTAGAAGCGGTAATGTCCATGGTATTGGTTTCTTTAAAGCTGTAAAGCAAAATGTAACAGAAGAAAAGACCAAAAATGTTCAAAACAAAGATTCTTTAAGTGTTAAACCTCAGTTATTATGAAGAAAGCAGTTCCTTCTACTAACTATGGTTAAACCAAAGTGCGTTGCAGAGGTTTATCAAACTCGTGTATTGCAACTTGGTTTATCAAAAGCAAGCCGAGACTAATTTTTTTTTCTCTCTATACTTTTATTGACTTTGTCTTTTTTTCATGGGTTTAGTTTGACAACAGTAAACCCATGAAACGAAAGTCAACAGTCAAGGTGCAATAGTCAAATAATCACAAAAGCAAACAATGGAATTAGTTACAACTAAGATGTATTAGTACATCTATTTTATAGGATTATTGAACCCAGTCCAGTGCGTCCTCAGTCCTAGCTCTTAGACTAATAGTTTAACCATTCTCTAATGCTTATTGTCCATATAATCTCTCCAAAACGTGTTTTTCCTAGTTGTAGTTTTCCAAAAGGGAATTAACAACAACACTTGGGACGATTACATGGACACTGGRTCTAACTTTGACTTTTCTTTTGTGTCTATTTGACTGTTACAGTGTGATAAGACAATGACTACCTATTTTCTGCTCGTCCAAAGTTAATAGGAGGACAATTTGTTTAATAGCTACTTSCAGCGATTAGTTTGGCCATACCTGTAGTTAGTAGTTACTAACTAAGGTTTGGCAATTCTCTTACAAGAAATCACTCGATTAGATTTTGTTTTGCTTGAGCTTACTTCGAGATGWCCTCTTTTTTTCAGTTAATAAGGTCTAGTTAGAGATGAAAAGTAGTTTTTACATAATATTAAGTAAATAGAGGATATTACATGGGCGCACGGAGATACGGATTTTATCTTCGAGTGTTGAAAAGATCTCTCACGAGGGAGCGTAGAGAACGAGTGAGAGATTTTCAACACGAGAAGATAAAATTTGTATCTCCAAGCGACCATGTAATATTCTGTTTATCATATAATTAAATATGAAAGCAAGTTATGTCTTAAAATACCTTTTTTCTTACTTCCACTATATAGAGAAACCTCGAATGTGTTATTTTCACTAGTGAAAATATCAATTTTACGTAATGGAGAAATATAGGTATTGCATAAATAATTATATGATAAAAGCTTTTATCATATAATTATAAATAAAATACCTATATAATATAATACCTATATTTCTCACTTTCGAAAAGTTGTTATTTTCACTGGTGAAAATAACACATTTGAGGTTGCTCTTATATTGAAAGTAAAAAAGTTTTTTTGCGACATAATTTGCTGTAAAATATTATATGATAAACAGAGTAGACATAAAACTTATATTGGAAGTGAAAAATAGGTATTTTACGACATAATTTGCTTTCATATATAATTATATGATAAACAGAATAAACATTTTCAGCTTGAGCGAAGCGAACTTTACAACAATCGAAGATTAAATCCGTGTGGCCATGTTATATCCTCTATTTATGTTATTAAAATATAATATAATATAATATAATCCTATTTATATAGTGCTTATCCAATTCTGTTCTAAGCGCTTTAAAACTACATGACAACTACAAAACACATGAGAGTCTTGGTAGTCTGTGAGCTTGAGCTTGAAAGAAAACTAATGGTTTGAAACATCAACTAAAAATAAAATTTTTCGAAGTCCTTTAATGTGTAGTYCAGAGTAATATCACAAATATTGCTTATATTTAATCTCTACATGTATTTGTTCCTATTTATGTCSTTTTTGCATTGCAACAGGACTAATATATATTATTAGTTCTTGTTGTGATTTCCCTTATTTTTTATTGATATCCGTCATTAATCATCTTAATAACTCGTTATGATATTGCAATGTCTGGTGAACATAACCTTGGCAAAACTAAAGTCAATGAAAACAGGTCTAAAGTAAAAATTACCAAATAGGCTATGAAGTGTATTTCTGAATGAGGAGGCACATTGTTGCAGTGAATTGTTGAAAAGTGAACTGAAAGAGATACAATGTAATGAAATGTTAGTTTTCCTTTTACTTAGTGTTGTACTTTGTGTTCTCTATCTATTAAGACTGTGTATTTTGAACTTTGATGAGAAATGTAGCAGTCAAAAGCTGTYATCTTTGTTCGTTTTCGGACAAGAAAAACATAACACAAAGTGAACAGAAAGCAAAACATATTGATAGAATAATATACAATTATATAATTATAAACGTGTTTGCATTTTTCACTGTCTTTTCCAATTAAATTCAACAAGAAATAACTACAATTGTATAAACATTGTTACAAGACTTATGCTATATGCATTTATGCAAGCTCACAAAATGAACACGAATCATTGCTGCAGTTTTTGCAGTGAACAAGAAAACTTGCCGTCGACTTCTTATTCCTTATTGGCTAAAAAACAGCTGTAAACTATAGATTTTGAGAAGTTTAACATTATCTAAAGTTCTATATACCTTGAAACTGTTGATATACAAAGTATCGGAAATCATYGCCAAACACAACCTTCAGGTCATAGCGGCATGTGTAAGATAAGTGCTTACAGACATTCAATCGATTTACAAGATAACGCGAGTGAAAACACAGGTCATCAAGTGATTTTAGGGGGTTGAAATGGTAAATTAGCATACGTCCCAGACTTCGGAACATGTGCCTTTAAGATGAGTATCAACTATTWGGAAGGCGTGCGGKKGTTTTGTAGTGAAAAGARAAAGACAAGCAAMCGTTGATGTTCTCTGGAGTCTCAAATGATTTGAAAGAACATTCATAATAGACTATTTGCAGTATGGCGTCTTTTTCTATAACTACCAGAATGCTTTGCCCACTTATTTTGTCATGAAATTCGTCCTGTTTGTTTTACTGAGATCTCCAAAGGGATTAAAAATCTGAATAAAAAAGAAAATGCGCAATACTTTCTGGTAGTTGTAGTAAATTTGCGACATCATGCAAATGGCCTATTATCATAATAATTATATTGTGAAAATCGTTGACTGCTACCTTTCACCCACAAGAGAACTATTGAGCCATTAAACAAACTAGTTTCCTTTGTTTGCAGTCTCTTCATTTTGGCTAAGTTCTCCGTAATTGAAAGTGATTAGACTTAAGTCAAGACCCGTGAAACAGATATTACRCTAATACATCTTAGTGCGCTCTGATTGCAAACTATAASGCTCTAATTTAAACCCGTGAAACAAAAATTGACTATTAAAGTGTGGTAGTCAAATATACACAAAAGAAAACATTGCAATTAGAGCGTACTAAGGTGTATTAGCGCAATATCTATTTCAAGGGTTTTTTGACTTCAGTCTAGTTGATTCCGGTACAATCCAATGCAGTAAAA